TTAAAGTGAAAATTAAATGATGAGGTGGGGACAGCCATGCAGAGAAGAATGCTTCAGGCACTTGTATGGTTTAGGGAATAGAGTCACTATGGATGTTACAGGAACAAAGGATATTCTATAGGAATAAGATCTTACACAGATGAGGGAGGGTGTTAGGAATTGAAAGTCTAAAAGGGAGAACCAGGGGACTGGAGAAAGACTGGCTGGTCACTGACTGGTCCATAAGAATCTCTTGTACAATTGGATAATAAGTTTGTGAGAAAATCCAAAAAAAGCAGATTCTGCCCAGCTGCCACATGGGGAATGCTATGATCTAAGAGAAACTGCTACTTCTAGCTACTATCTACCTCTGTGGGTCTATTGCCAATAACTGGTGGAGGGCCTGGAAGCATTATTGATCACTAGTCAGCAATTGTGAAGGTGAGCCAAACACAAAAGAAGGGAAGAAGATAAGCTGAGACCTACTGGATACCACTGTGTGGGTCAATAAGTCTTATCAAGATTAACGGTCACTCCTTCATTTCTGCTTCCCAAATTTCACATAAGTTCCTCATTGCCTAACTCTTAACTTAGAACCACATGGAGAAAAGGATCTAGGAAATGTAGTTCCCAGCCCAACCAAGTTTACATAGCAGGGAACAACCCAGCACAACAGGAACAGCATATACAAAGGGCTCAAGAAGGAAACGAATTCAGAGTATCTGACAGATAGAAGGGAGGTGACACTGAAGCTCCATAAGTGAGGGATAAAGTGGAGAAGGCAGAGCCCCGCTGATGTAATAGGGCACCTGGCAGCCAGGCTACCAGTTTTGATTTAATTCTAACTTGTAGAATTTTAAGCAAGGTGGTGGGATTCTGAAGTATTCTTTAAAAGGATCATCCTTTCTGTTATGGATGATGGGGAAGCAAGAGAAAATTTGAGAAAAAGGGGCATCAGGGATAATAGGAAAAAGATAATCATGATCTGGACTAGGATTATGAAAATGAAAATACAAACCAGGCACCGTGGCTACTTCTGAGAATGAGGCATTAAAAACTCACGTTGGAGGCCAGCTTTAGCAGCTTTACATGACTCTCTCAAAATAAAATTTTAAAAAGTGCTGGGGATGTAGCTCAGAGGTATAGCACTTGCCTAATATGTGAGACCTGGGTTCAACTCCCATATTTCTAAAAAAGGGAGAGAAAAAAAAGTGTAGATACAGAGAATTGGTCAGGAAGGTCTTTGTTTTCATTTTCCAACATACTTTTTTAGACCTAGAAACATTTCTCTGTAATATGAGATGTGATACACTTTGAAAGTTATGTGTGGCAAAAGTAAGTGGTCAGAGAGGGTCCACTACTTTCTATGCACCAAGATCTATGCTGAGCCTTCTCCTCACAGTAGTCCTGAATGAGGAAACCAATGCACAGGAAGTTGGAATGTACCTAATCAAGATAACACAGTTACACAGTAATGGGCCTGTGATCCTAACCCCAATACCTTAGAATCTTTGCTCTTTCCATAGCATCCTGCTGCCTCTCACGTTAATTATGAGAATTCATGTTCACCATTAGTTATGTGATACCTGGCTCCTCAAAAGTACCTCAAATATACAGGTCTGTCTAAGAGACTCTGTACTGCATAATATCTCCAGCCTGCGTTTCCTAGCTGTTAGCCAGCCTTTTGTTACTGTGACAAAATATCTGAGACAATCAACTTAAAAAAGGAAAGGTTTATTTTGGCTTATGGTTTCAGAATTTTCATTCCATTACTTTGGGCCTTGGTGTCATGGTTCATCATGGCAGGGACATGTAGTAGTAGAGGCCGATTCTCATGGAAGCTGGGAAGTGAGCGTTGGGGAAGGAGGAGGAAGAGGAGGAGGAGGAGGAGGAGGAGGAGGAGGAGGAAGGGACTAAGGTCCTAACTTCCTCCTAGTAGGCCTCACCTAACTGGTGAGCAACTTTTAACACATGGGCCTTTGGGGAACACTTAACTATAGCACTAACTTCTTAAATAACTTACCTGGTGTTTAGATTTCCTCCATACCTACTTGAGGCCTTATAATATTTGAACTTGTATCATTTCAGGAGATAGAAAACGGTGAAGACATTTTTGGTTTCCTGGGTTTAAATCTCATTGGAATAGTGTTACCCCTGAGGATTAGGAAATAAATTGAATTCCATATAAAATTACAAGTCAACAATGTCATAAGGCCATGTTGTCATGTTTTCCATGGAAGTTTTTTTTCCCCTAGCCCCAAAGAGCTCCTTTTAGAGAGCTTTTGTGTCTTTATCTTTTTGTTGTTGTTGTTATTGGAGATTGAACCCAGGGTGCTCTACCACTGAGCTCCATTCTCAGTCCTTTTATTTATTTATTTATTAGTTGTAGATGGACACAATATCTTTCTTTTATTTATTTATGTGGTGCTGAGGATCAAACCCAGTGCCCCACATATGCAAGGCAAACACTCTACAACTGAGCTACAATCCCAGCCCCTTATTGTTTGTTTTGAGACAGCCTCACTAAATTGTCCAGGTTGTTCTTGAACTTGCAATCTTCCTGCCTCGGCCTCCTGAATCATGGGGGTTACAGGAGTGTGCCACAACACCTGGGTTCATGTCTATTTTAATTAATATTGCATGTCATTAGATAAAAAATAAAAAGTAAATGAATAAGGACACATCAGAATTACTATTAAGCATGAACTTGTTAAAGGGCATGTTTGAGACATGAAAAAGAAAACCAAGATTTATTTTCCAATCAATGATCTATTTATTGATCCTACTGTCTTTTAAGAAATAAAATATTTCAAAGTACAAAGTATTTAATGTCATACTACTTTGAATTTAAACATTATTTACTTAGTATATATGCATGTGTAAATGATGAATGATTAGAATATGGGACTATATGTTTATCACAAATATTTATTGAAAATAGGTAGTCTTTGGTTTTTAGTTATACACTGTCCACTTTATCTGTAAGGTGCAAGGTAACCGGGCCACAGACTCAAAATATGGAACATTTTTATATTTTTTTAGAGAAATTATATGAAAGGACCTACAGAGTTTCATGATTAGGTAAAGATGTTTAGATGGGATCACCACTGGGCAGCACTCAAAATCACGAGCAGCATGAGGAGTGACAGTATTTGGGAAGGTGAGTATAGGCTTACATTCTGGCCAAAGACATTCTCTCCTATTCAATTCCTGAACATGCTCTCAGAAGAAATTTCCCAGCCTCGAAGAGGCTAACTAGATACCAAACATGCCTCCACTAGCAGAATTTACTCTTCCCGTTGGCTCTTAGTGTCTTATCATTCCTTTTCTTTGTGAAAGATGGTGTGATAATTGATAATCACAAAACTTTGCAAATTCTAAAACAAGGTCACCTGGCAATGAAATTCGTTTTGCCTTCAATTAGTTTTTAGAAGTATCTTGGAAGCTGTCTTTTTAAACTACAGAAAGTTGGAACTTGTCATTGAAGGAATTTTCATATTGGTGGCAAAAGGTTGGGCACTGGCTAACATCTCTGTGTGTGTGTTTCTTTTCTCTGGTTTTTCAGTGCTAGGGATAAAACCCCAGTCCTTGTACATACTAGGCAAGCACTTAACCACTGAGCTACATCCTCAGTCACAATGCATGATCTCTAAAGCTGCTTTTCATTATAAGATTACATGATTCTAGATGCCATATATATCTGGAATGTTCTGGAATAACAGTCCAGAATAGTCACAAATGTTTGAAACATGTGCTTCTTATTTTTTAGAGAAGCCAAGTTAATATCCTGTTATATAATAAACAAGGATGTTACTTCATCCTTCTTTCCTGCAGTTATAATGGCCAGAAGATAATGATTAAAAGAGGTTACCCAGGGTTAGACACAGTAGAGTAGCCAGGAAACATCCTGCTTTCTCTGAGAGGATGGCCTTTCTACCTATAACAGATACAATTAGTAAACTATTCAAAACCCAGCTCCACAGTCTTTTAGATGTGGTGGCAGACTCAAGGAAGTAAACTGTGACTCTGCCCTCAAGGAGCTGACAATCTGGTTAGAGAGAGAAAACAGACATTCAGAAATTAATTAGATGACAATTAAGTGATCTTCCATATTGTACTAAACACTCATGAAATAGGAGTTTTATGATGATTTGAGCATCCAGAAAAAATTTTGAAAGATTCACTTACTTATTTTTGTAATGCTAGGGATCAAATCCAGGATGTTACATATGCTAGGCAACTGCTCTACCATTGAGCTATACACTCAACTCTCCAGAAAGGTTTTATTTAAGAGGCAGGACTTGAACTGAACCTTGAAGACTGGGATCAAGTAGAGATAAGCAGGGAGAAGAAGGCATTCCTGTGGAGTATAGAAGGAAAAGTGAGAAAGGAGTACACCCAGGTGAATGAATTTCATGAATGAGTGCATGACTTGTGTAGTGGAGAGAAGGCAGGCACTAAATTATGGCAAGATGGTGAAGAATTGGCTTGAGTAAAGTGAAGGGTAATGATAAGAAATAGTGTGGTCAATTTGGGCAGGCAAGAATCACATGACCTCAAAAGCCAGAGAGAAGTTTCTGAAAGCTAAGCTCTGGTGATCGCCAGTGATGGATCCTCAGAAGGAAGCAGCAGACACATGTGTGAAAGGCCTACAGGTTGGTTCAAATGCAGATGCCAACAGCCATGGCAGCTTGGCGAGTCCAGCTCAATTCCAAACTGCATGACTCACTGGCTCATGGACAGGTCTGGGGCTTGTTGACACATACCTCAGAATACTCTCTAGAGGCTGTAGTTTGTGGCCTCGGAAGCCCAGGCAGCTGTTGTGTGTGGGATGTATTTGTGTGGATATTTGTCCAAATGTGGGTGTTACTGAGATCATAGTCTTACACATGATGAAATTCAGTTGGTTGAGGGTAGAGGAACAAAGACAACTATTGCCTCTAACAAGTCTTAACATTTTGGTTTTAAAATCAACTTTCTAACTTTAGTTACATTTTCAAAAGAGTACTTTAGATTTTCTATTCAAACTAACAAGCTGATTTATTAGAGGTCATCCATTCTTGGAATTATTTCAGTATAATTAAAAAAATTTAACATAAAGTACTTGATGGTAAAGTGGTCTCTTATGTAGTCTTCTTTTGATGAGGACGTTGGGGTCTTTTAGCTTTTAAAAATGTCTTCATTTTTTGTTTTCCCCCTTTCTTTTGCTTTTTCTTTTGGCTGACCTGCAGAGAGAGGCGGGGAAAGGATAATATTTTTTAATTTTACAAATTACCCTTCCTTATATTCAAACTCCTGACTGTGGTTTTTCTTTATTCTCAGAACTGTCTTAAAGTTGTCTTCTCTCCAAGGGGCCTCTTTTGATTCTCTGATTTGCTCACTTCTTTTGTTTGTTCTCCTGGCTTATTGATGTCCTCACACCAACTTTGCTTACCAGCCACCTGCCCTGGCTGAAACCCTCTGAGGTTGGTAATATCATCATCCACTTTTTATACATGAGGGGGTTGAGGTTAAGAAAGGATGACTTGTCCAAAGTTGTGAAGTGGCACCCCCTTTCTCCACAGAAAAGCCCTCTTCACCATGGCTGATTTTAGGACTGTCAGCAAAAGAGTCCATTGTAGATAAACTTACTATTTTCACGTCACCCTGTTTACTTGGCCACTGGCCGAGAAGATACCAGCACTCTAGGTGCTGGACACCCTCTTACTAGTTTTTCACAAATGTGTCCAGTATAGTACTTTGAAGAAATGTGCAAACAAGGCCTCTGGCCTTGAGCTGAGCTTCACAGAGAAGTCTACATTTTTAAGATAAGTTACAACCGGGCTCCATGGTAACAGCTGGCAGGGGGAGGAAAGAAAGGAGAGAAGAAGCTCTTCCCTTCTCAGGTGTTGTCCGTGAAGAGTTAACTTGCCCAGATCAGTGAAATAAAAAGCTGCTTTTATGTAAACTTCTGCAGACTGTGAACTTCTAAGCCCCTCCCTCACATGCTGGGTATAAAACTCTGAAACTCCCTGAACTCAGGGTTCAAGGGATTGATTGATTACAGCAAAGGCTGTACCCTCTGAACCTGGCTGCAGCCAAATAAAACTGTTTCCTGCTATCTTCAGTGCCTTGCCTCGTTTGTCCCTACAACAGTTGGACAGCTAGTACGTGGCCAGTCAATAGTCTGTCAGACCACAGAACTAATGCTCCCCACCACATATTCTGTGTCCTTCATCAAACCCAACTCCTGAGCATGTCATGCAGAATTCTTCCCACTTTGTCCTCACTGACTCTTCCACCTCAACACCTTTCTCTCTCCACATAAACTTCAGTCTCATTACATGAGGTTGCCTGAACACAGCAAGCTCTGTCTTGATTTTACTCTTGTTCACACCGCCCTTAGCTGCCTGGGGAGCTACCTACCCTTCAAGCTCCAAATCATTGTCACCTGATATATGAAATCTTCCTTAATAATTTCTCCCTATCACTCTCCTGGTAAAATCAATTACTACTTTCTCTACAACCTTCAAGATTCTTATATATACCTTGATATTATATGTATGCGTTGCATCACAACTAATTAATTCTTGCTTATTACCTTGGCATCCTTTCTGTCTACCATCAATTCAATACAATTCAAAAGGATGAAAGGTTGAAAACTGTACCCTTCATTGAGCTACACAGAATTCTTTGTTTTCCACAATTTCTAAAAGATAGAAAACTGTTCTTCTTTTCACCAACCTTTTCTTTCCACATCTTCACCACTTTTTTCACATAACCTGAATCTGGGTTTAGACATTCTTCATTCCCATTCTTCATTGTAGCACTGCCAAAGAAACAGCAATGAGATTTCTTTTTTCTCTGTAAATAATTTGATTTTTTTTGTAGAAATAATAAAAATAGGTATGAATTTTGCTGAATTTTCTAGTGAAATTACTTTAAATTACTTAAAAATTTAAAGACAAGATTATTTGGTTGCATTTTAAAAATTATAGCAGTCCATCCAGGAATAACTTCATGATATTTCATTCATCTCTCTGTATAATCTGAAAATAATAGTAGAAATTTCATATATAATTCTTAATGTAGGTATGAAAGAACTTAAAATATGCATATCATTTATCCTAGCAATGATAGGAAGAATTAAAGACAATACTGCCACAGTAAGAATTTGGCAATAGTCAAAATTTGGAAATAATCTATATTTCTAACAGCAGGCATTGCTTATATAAATTACGGCACCTCTATATAATATAATTTGACCATTAAAATGACATTATTATGGCTGGGGCATATAGTTCAGTGACAGAAGCATGCTCCCTGGGTTCAATCCTCAGCACCAAAGAATAAAATAAAAGGGAGAGGAATTATTAAGAAAAAATGAAATTATTATAGAAGATTTACAGACATAAACATGAGAAAATGTTCATAATTATAGTGTTAATGAAAATCACATTGCAAAACTTTTCAGTAAAGGAACTGTACAGGTAGGGACCCTATCTTATTATATTATCCTAAGTGTCTCCCATCAGTTTAAGACAATTCAAAAGGATGGAAAACAGTGTCACAATATTTAATAAATGTCTGTTACAGATTAGACACATACATATACTCATGGGTGCTATGTGCACCAACTTCTTTTTATGTAAGTAAATGTCTATTAGACAAAATTCTTAGCAGCAGAAAAGCAGGACATAATCATTTGGGAAACTGTGTGAAATTCCATTTTTGTTCCTCTTGATGCTTCAATCACATCTTCCTCAGAATTTTCTCTTTATGCAGAGCAAGAACACCCTGAAGGCATAACTAAGAGTCACCAGGCCAACTGAAATCATCCAAAGGCAACTCCAGGCCTGACCTTAACCCTAAGCACCCTTATGAAAGGCAGAGGATGTAGAGTTCCCTGGATCGTATGCTTTGATCATAAGGGAAGGGAACACTTTATGTACATAGAATACCACTAATTTCAAGGACCAGTCAGTTTCTGGAATCCACAGTATAAAGCTTTAAGGGCTACCTGAAGAGCTCCCAAAGTGCACAGAGCAGCTGCTTTGGGTGTGTGGCCTTTCTGATTAGATGCCTGCTGAGCACCCTAGATCAATAACATAATTGGATTAAAATAACAATTAGATTTATGTTTAATAACAATTAGGTTTTTAAAAGAACAGCAATGGGAGAACAACCTCTACAAAGGCAATAATTTTTATTTGGTCCACTGCTGTGTCTTGAAATGCTATTAGCCAAAGATGAGGGATCTGTAGGATGAGTAAATATCACACTGACTTTGCAGGAGCATTAAAATAAGTTACAAGCATCATAAAAGCAAATGTACACAAACATACCTAATACAATAATTAAAAAAATAAAATGGGCTTGAAACACTCCTATTTGAGGGTTCTCAAGAGATGTGGACCAATTTCTTAGGAACTTAAGTGGACTTTAATGGAATGGAGTTGGTGGAGGTTTGGACCAAAAAGCTGTTCAAAGGATTTTTAGACTAAAATGTATCTCATTTCAAGATATATTTCAAGATATTCTGCCAATGCCTGAAACTTCAGATAGCAGTGAATCCTATGTATGCTGTTTTTGTCTGTACATTATTATCTATGATAAAGTTTAATTCATAAATTAAGCACAGTAGGAGATTAACAATAAATAATACTATGATGAAATAATTTTAATTATATACTATAATAAAAATTATTTAAAACTTATGAACTATTTATTTCTGGAAATTTTCACTTAATATTTTCAGACCATAATTGACTGTGAGTAAAGTGAATCAGCAGATAAGGGGCAACTATGGTATGTTGTACATGATTTTATTGATTTTTATTTGTGTATCTATATGCATAAAATATTAGTATATATATATATATATATATACATATAGTGTGTGTGTGTGTGTGTGTGTGTGTGTGTGTATAAACTCATATACCCAAAGCAAATGAGGAAGCTTTGGAATACCATGTACCCAGAAGGTATATGATACTATTTATCACTGGCTGGTAGGATTATAGGTGATTGTCAGTGTCTTCTTTAAGAAGATTGTCAGTGTCTTCTTTAAGCATTTTCTAGGAGCCCATTTTCTAGACTGCTTGAATCTATGTTTTCCAGGTTGCAATCCTAATTAGTCTCAAATAAATGAAATTTTATTTTTGTTCTTGAAAAACAAACTTCTCTTCATTGAACATGTGCTACTTCAGAAGTCTATCATACTTGGTTCTCACTCTCTACCAGAAATTTAATTTTTTTTAGAAAAAAAAGAAAGCAGCAGACAGACTTACAGAAAGGGTAACTATCTGAACTTTTAATTGTCTGCATGGGCAAGCACTCTATTTGCCATCATTTCTAGATCACTGCCCTCATTTTGTGAAGTAATAATAGTCACACTAAATTTAATGTCCTTGCCAATGTAGCATCTGTGTATTGAATGAGTTTTTACTTACATGATTTCAGTTTTCCCACAGGAAGGGCTTGGGGCAAATTGTTTAATGTCTTTTAAGGCTTTAGGGTGGATTTTCCCCTGCCTAGTACTGATGCAGGAACAACGGTCATTCCTCATTATTGGGGCTCCTATCAGAAAGAGAAAGAGTGGAATACATGCACGTGTTAGGTCAATTCTCCCATTGAGGCAATCCATCAAAATGATACATGAATTTGATCATAATTATTTCTATCACTTGCTGTCGGTAGATCATAACCACAAACTTTTGAAGCAGGTATTTCTCCCCTTTGTAGATAAGGAGGTTAAGGTTCAGTTAGATTAAATAAAGACCAAACACAATAGCTTTCAGGGGGCAAGAGTACGAGTAGGATTTCAGCTCAGGTTTTACTGTGTCCCAAGGTGCTGCTTTTAAATACATCACCTTACAACTTTAAGAGGAGTAGACACTTTCACAACATTTTTTTTTCAAATAAATTTATTTTTTATGTTTATTTTTATAAATATAAAAGTGGTGCTGAAGATCGAACCCAGGGTCCTGCTCATACTAGGCAAGTACTCTACTGCTGAGCCACAAATTCAGCCCTCCACAACATTTAATAAATGCCTATTATAGGTAAGACACACAGACATATAATTCATTAGCATTATGTGGTTCCAACTTCCTAAGGAACTCCCAAATACAATTATTCCCTGATCTTGGTGAAATGGAGTTGATGTAGGTTTGAACAGAGAGCTTTACTTAACTATAATTACCACTTCCATCCTCATCCTCTCTGTTCCCCACTGATTGATTTTCAATAGTGCTTTAAATTTTGGGAAAGTTTTGACACTCATTCAGCATATGTCTATGCAGTGCTTACTGTGTCACACATTAACTTCAAAATACCATTTTACAAATATGGAAACTGAGTTCCAGTAAGGCTATTAACCAACATAACAAAAATAGTAAATGGATTAGGGGTGATCTTCTGATTTCTCGATTCTTAATTGGTAAAACACAGACATATTTATCAAGAATCCATACTAGGAAAAAACATGAAAACAGTATAGGAAACAGAATCTCTCATCTCATTATCAGCTGCCAGTGCTGCTGTTTCACATCCCTTAATATAAACCACCCATTTATGTGAAATGGAAATAAAATATGCAGAAATTTCTTGGCGCTGAGATAGGGCTTCTTGTTATTAAATGTTCAAACATTTATTAAGACTTAACTAGGAACGTACACACCTAAATTGAGAAGACTTGTGTTTGACTTGGCAGGTCCAAGTTATGATCTTCAGATAATCAACCACATCACCAAGATGTTTTTATGAGTGACCAACATTACTTTGGGGACATGCAGAATATTCAACTTTATCTGATGAACCCATAGGGCTTAATAGTGAGTCATACCTCTGATTCTACTAATGTAATAAAACTCATAATACCTTACCTTGAACTCCAAACAGAACCAGGAAGATGAGGCCCAAGAGGAAAGGAATACCGGTTTTCTTCATAGTCAGGGAATGGAGTTCTACCAAGTCACTGCTATATATTTTGAACCTGAGGAATTCTTTTGAGAACATGCTCTGTGGAACCATATTTATTTAGGAGATCAATTTTCCTCCTAAACTCTGATTGGATGTTGTCCTTAGATCAAGCTAAACCAACCACAAATTGATTGTGCTGGGGGAAATCCTAATCTCCGATCCAAGGGAATTTCTGTTTGTTTTATTTCCATTTCACATAAATGGGTAGTTTTTAGAAAGTGATGTGAAACCAACAGCACTTGCAGCCTTTAGCAAACTCACAGCTGTTCACCTGGGAGAAGAACAGGTTATGCAATGAAAATAATAATGTCATACAGTAAGAGTTGGAGATGTGGTTTCCAGATGGGAAATATTACAGTTCACTTAAGTGATTTCCTTATTACTTATGGCCTAGCCTTCTGTATAAATGCATGGCTACATTATCTTTCTCATATTGTCCATCCAGCAACTTTAAGCACCTTAATTTCTTCAGGGGCCACGTTATTTTCTACTGGTGGTAATTTCATTTTGTGTCATTGCTGCTATAGCCTATTATTTTTAAAATTGATAGATCAGTTAACATTATGGTTCAGATACATGTAAGAGACCCAAATTAACAGTGGCCAAGATAGAGGCTTATTTCTCCTTGACACAGATAGGTGGACCAACACTTGTATGGAGGCTCTTTTCCCTGAGGTTGTCCAAGCTCCCTCTATCTTATTGCTTTGCCACCATTTCTAGGTCACTGGCCTCATCTACAAGGCAAAGATGACCTGCTACCATGTCTGATTTCCAAGTACAAAATAGCAGAAAGGCTGAAAAAGGGCATCTTATTCCTTTTGAAACTCATCCTCAAAGTTGCAGCTATCATTTTCCATCACAGCCCTGGCAAAAGAGCTTATTCACATGGCCACACCTAGCTGCAGGGGAAGTTAAGAAATGTCATCTTCATTCTGGTTGACCCGCTAAACATCAGAGGTTCCATTACCACAAAACAGTGTTTCTCAGGTAGGGCGGCTCATTTGGCGCACAAGCCCAGGCCCCTGATTTGGCCCGAGGCTTCCTCTGACTCTGGCTGTCCTTACTCTCTCCTGATCTTTAGTGCCGCAGCAGCCACTTCTCCAAGCCCCAAAGGTAGCATTTGAAAGCAAAGACTGTCATTCCCATCCCCAAAGAGGCACAAAGACAAAACCCAAGAAGCTGAACTATAAGATGGAGACAGATAAGTTTGCTTAAGCACAAATATTGATTTTTGTTAATCTCTCTGCAGAAAAAGAGCATTCGTCCCAGAAGAAAGTTCTGGAAGTCTGGCACAGTAAGTATACAGCAAATGCTCTATTAGTGAGTGAAGGGGCTCTGCGGCGGCATCCAGGTCTCGGCATCTCTGGCCCCGTGACCTCCTAGAGGCCCTTGGCGTGCGCACTGCGCATGCCCAACCAGCTGTGATTCCAGAACCTTCTTCCGCGAGGAGGTTACAGCTGGAGCTCCCAACGCTCACTCTTTTCTCGCCCACCGCTGGTGTCGCTGCTGGCTATCCGCTGCCGCTCGTATCTTCACAGGGGGAAGAAAATCGCTTTGAGGAGGAGAGGTAGTGTGTGTGCCCTCGGGATCTCTCCTCTGTCCCCTGGCCACTGTCCTGTAGCCTCCCCAAGGGGAGGCCGCGTTTCCTGGGGAGGGGGAAGGAGGCAGGGGGCTCACAGAGGCCCTTTGGGAGCTTCCACAGTAGGCTTGGGTGAGGCCTTCGGGAATGAAGGCCCCAGAAAGGTTGGGTCGCCCACCGGGCGGAGGCCTCCAGGCGAGGCTCCCAGACTCCGGGGCTGGAACCGGACCTGTTGGACCTTAGAAAGTGGGAGTTGGGGTCAGTGAAGAGTCGTTCGAGGCCAGGCCGCTCCTTGTTACCCAGGAGGGTGGATGCTCTAGCGGGAGGAGAGGGCTTCCCAGGTGAGTGGCGGAACGACTGGGATGGAAATGAAGACTGGGCCATTGCCCACTACTTAGATCTATTCGGACACTTGCTTCCCAGGCCTCGTTTTTTTTTTGGGGGGGGGGAATCATAATGCAAGCTCAAAGTGCGCTTCTGATTGGGCAGAGGGAAAGAGAAAACCCACTGACAGCACACTTATGACTAAACAGGGCTTTTAGGAGAAATAGAAACCTGGTGAGAGGATATTGCAGGAGTTTCCCACAGTCCTGGGAAAGGAGCCAAAGTTTGTCAGGACTGTTGAAATCAACAGATAGTTCTTAATTCCCCCTTTGGACCAGAGTTTTAATTTCTTTTGCCTTGAAAAATTCCAGTTCTGGGTCCCCGAGCACCTGAATGCTGATGTAACCCCCAAGAGCCTTGGTTTTCACATGTTGTCTGGCCTCCCACTTCCATCTTTTTGGTTACGGAATCAGTGTCATCTGTTTTATTTTATATATAGTGTGACTCACTGTGTCACAGTGAAGATGAGAGGCTTCATTTTTACCACGGGAGAGGAAGTTTCATATTGAAACCTCCAGGCCTGTTTTAATTTCTCACGGGGTGGATTTCCCCTCCTTTCAGCAGCTACTGCTAGAATTAAAAGGATGCTGACTCGGAAAAAGTGTACTTTGTTAAAGTCTCAGAAGCCCTGATTTACAGCACTCTTGAGTTTTCTTTTTCCTCTTCTACTCCCATGCAGGAAGTTAGTCTTTCCTTCTATAAAATTATTATGTGGTGAACTGTCTGTGTACAAGTCATAGCTTTGTAGTGTTTCTTAATGGTGTCTGCATCTCACCTCATTAAGAGAATGGATCAGGTTCTTCCTTAGCTAATCTTACTAGCTGGCCTTTTTGTTTATATGTCTCATGCAAAGCTTGAGAACTGGGTTAAGTTGGTGAATAAGCAGTCTTGAAAGGGAAAGTCAGGACTTCATTTCAAGAACAGCTGTGGCTAAACATTGGCGCTAACACAGCATTTTTGTTCTGTGACTTTGGCAAGTTAGTTGTGATTATAGTTGGGAAGAAACTCCTCCCTAATCTGAAGAAAAAGCATCATGAAAAGAAAGAAAATATTACTGTATTTAAAACATTCATTTTCATTTTAAACGATTTACTTTAAAATTGTTTACCTAACTCTATAAGAAAACATCCACTTTCTTGAAACTCTTATTTACTATTTATCATTCATTTCACTTCATTCATCGAGCTTTTATTATTCTAGACTCTGAAGACACAAGTTATTTACAATAATTTCTGCCTTTAGAGAGGGTACAGTGAGTGGGGGAAAGCAGCATATAAACTAATAATTACTGTAGGAGAAGTGCTACATTAGATTGTTCAAAATAATTGGAAGTTCAGGGAAGTCCAAACCTTTGCTGAAAGGGTTCAAACACAGCTGTTTCAATTGTATCTGGAAGGAAGACTTGTTTGGAGTTCATTATTATAATAAGGTGTGGCAAGGTATTCTGAGCAGGAGACATGAGACATGAGACATGACAAATATCAGAAGTACCAAGTATTTTGGCAAGGGGGAGGGTAATAATTAGTGATTTAAAAGTTTAGTGATCCTAGTGTGGATTTTGAATGTAGATTAATTGTACCAAAGTAGTGTATAGAGGGGAAATTATAGTCCTACATTTAAGCAAGTGATAATGAGGGAATGAGTAAGAAATGGGGCTGGAAAGAAAGCAGGAACCAGAGTTTGATAAAAAGCCTTATAAATACTCTAGGTGAGGAGACATTGAAGGATTTTTAATCAAGGGAGTGACAGGAAGAGATTTACACACATCTAGCCTTTGTTACTGAACAATACCTTTTAACTAATCTTACTTTAATGGTTCTTCATATATCTAGTTTGTTTATTTGCATTGTTGGCCACTTGAATCCGCCCCACCCACCCCCATATTTCAGTAATACAACAGTGCTCTTTTTATTTCTTAAAAAGTTTTACTTTCTTGGTGCAAGGCAAGGAAGCATGTGCTTGTATTCCCAGCTACTTGAGGGGCTGAGGAAGGAGAATTATTTGGTCCTAGGAGTTTGGGGCTAGTTGGGCAACATAGCAAGACCCATGAATTTTAACAGAAAAGAAAACAAAACTAGAAAAGGATTTAACTGTCTTGGGATATTTTCCCTTCTTTGGGACAAAGGTTAAAAAAATTTCTATGTTTTTGTTAACATTTTGGCAGATTGTTTGCCATAAAGAGTAGACTAAATTTGTAACTACCCTTCCAAACTGTAGATGTACCTGATTCCCAATTCTCTTACCATTTGTATTTGTTTTTGTTATTTAATATGCGGAAATTGGTACCAGAGGTTAGTGTTTATTTCCACTTTTTAATATTGACATTTTAGTTTGTGTTGGCTTAACATCTGCATTTTCTACCTTTTCAAGATCAGTTTCAAGTACAGAGTATTGTAGTCCATCATTGTGCGTGGGGGGGGGGTACATTCTAAGAACACCAGTGGATGCCTGAAACCATGGATAATACCTGGATAAAAACTATCTTTTTATATGCAATTTTTGCCTATAAATACATATCTATAATAAAGTTTAATTTATAAATTAGGCATAGGCATTAACATCCATAATGCAGTGATACAATTATAACAATATATTATAGTAAAAAGTATGTAAATATGGTCTCAAAGTATTTTCTTATACTGTACTCATTCTTCTTGTTGACTCGTTAATCCTTTTTTTTTTAAGGTAAAACATCTGCTATTCATATTGTTGCTTCCATTTTTTCATAATTTATTATTGAATATAATATATGCTAAGGGCTGAATTGTATCCCCTCAAACTATTCATGTTGAAGACCTAACTGCGAGTACCTCAGAATGTCACTGTATTTAGATATAGGGTCTTTAAAGAGATAATTAAAATGAGGTCCATAAAGTCCCTGAGTTAGTCTAGTCTTTGGACTTACTAAACAAATTTGTAAATTCAATTGTCTTAAATATGCTTAAAGAGCTTGGGGCTGGGGATGTGGCTCAAGCGGTAGCATGTTCGCCTGGCATGCGTGCGGCCCGGGTTTGATCCTCAGCACCACATACAAACAAAGATGTTGTGTCTGCCAAAAACTAAAAAAATAAATATTAAAAAAATTCTCTCTCTCTCTCTCTCACTCTCACTGTCTCTTTAAAAAAAAAAAAAAAGAGCTAAAGGACCAGTGAAACTCTTCATCATATACAGCCACAAGAATGGGATCCTAACTAGTATTAAGTTGTACTGCATGTATGTATAATATGTCAAAGTACACTGTACTGTCATGAATATATAAAAACATAAAAAGAAGAAGAGCCAAAGAAAAATTAAAATTCTGTCATTGAAAATTACAAATACTGAAGTGAAAAATTACTGGAGGGATTCAAGAACAGTTTTGATCTGGTAGAAGAATGAATACGCAATTTGAAGACAGGACAATTAAAATTATTGAGTTAGAGGAACAACTTACAAAGAATGGAGAAAAGTAAAATGAGCGTTAAAAAACCACCAAGTGGATAAACATATATATAATTTGAATTTCAGAAAGGGAAACAAATGGGATGGAAAGAATATTCTCAGAAATAGTGACCCCAAACTTCCCAAATCTGATGAATCTGTATGTCCAGAAAGCTCAATGACCATCAAGCTAGATAAATCCAAAGAGATCAACACAGAAATAAATAGTAGTCAAATTACCAAAACACAACGAAGGAATCTTTTTCTTTCCATGGTTTTTATTGGTGCATTATAATTGTACACAATGATGGTATTTGTTGTAACATATTTGTACATGCACACATTCTTTTTTTTTTTTGCAGACATTCTTTTCTTTAAAAAAAAAATTAGTTGTAGTTGGATATAGTACCTTTATTTATTTATTTATTTTTATGTGGTGCTAAGGATCGAACCCAGTGCCTTGCACATGTTAGGTGAGTGCTCTACCACTGAGCCACAACCCCAGCCCCACATGCACACATTATAACAGTATAATTTGACCAGTATCATTTCCCAGTATATCCTCCTTTCGTTCCCCAAAGAAAGAGTCTTGAAAGTAGCAAAAGGGAAGTGATTTATCACATGCAAGGGATCCTAATTAAGATTAATGACTGATTTCTTATCAGAAACCATGCAGACAAGAAGGCAGTGGAACAACATACTCTTACTGCATCATTTAATGATCTATTCTGAGAGATGTTAAGAATGTACTTATACAAATGGAGATGGTATAGTGTACTGACACACACTAAGATATATGGTCTCTGTGTTTGTACGGTATAGCCTATTGCTCTTAGGGCCATGATGAACAAAATGAGATTAAATCAAATAACAAGAAAATGAAGAGATGTGGTAAATATATCATGACATATGATCTTATGGTAAATATTTTTTATTAATAACTAAAGGGAATACACACTAAAATAATTAAAGAAATACAATAAACACATAAACAAGTAAGATAGTTTTATATATATATATATATATATATACACACACACACACACACACACACACTTTTGTGTATGCAGCACAACGGGCTTGATTATCACAAACTTGAGTAATTACAATGATAGGAATTTTTCAGCACCATTGTTCTCTTATGGGACCAACATAATATATGTGGTCTGTTGTTAACAATAATG